AGATTTGTTAAAAAGAAAAGTGCCAAGCTGTCCTTCTTACAAATACAAAAAGTATGTATTTGTGTCCAATTTCAGGAGAAATGAACGGGCAAGAGACATATCATTGCACTGCTTTTAATATTTACATGGGATTTGTTGACAAAAGCAAAAATACAGAATATCACCAGCCTTCTAGTATGAAATTAAAGCTACACACGGCCTAATTTTGTGTGCTCCTTTTAGCTGAAATTGCATTTAAAATGGCCTCAAAGTACCAAATAAACCAACTGCAAATGTAAAGCGGTAATTGCAATATATTTAGCTACCCACATGTAGTATATTAACTAGAGTGGTACCACTGAGCTACAGCCTCAGCTGCACCACTTTACACCAAACTGTACACCGGATAGTCTTGTGAAAGTGGAAAGTTGAATCAGCCAACTTCAATTAACAGGGGCAGTATTTCAGCGTCAGGAGTAATTGTCCAAAATGTATCACTTTAGATCTATGCATCACTTTAGATTATAAATGACTAGTGTGATTACATACATTGATTAGTACCGCATGGAGAAAAGGGGAAAGGGAAGAAATATTCAGCCTTCAGTTTCAGTGTCAGTGACTGAGTTTGACACATTTCAGTTAAAAGGTCAGACCTCCATGATTATAACTCCAGTGGGTTCCACATCTACATTTTAATATAGAGGTAGTTTGTGGCAACATTTTAATCTATTTTAAGTCAACGTGTCAAGAGATTAACTCCAGTGTTAAAACCACAGCACTGCTGATAAAAAAGTCTGCTATTCTGATTAAGGAAATATGTATGCGGGCCTATTAACAGTAAGTGCCATAGTTTTAAAGGAATAAAGTGAAACGAAAGCAGCACACTAATTAGGTTACTTGCTTGTTCTATTGTATTGTTCTATTCTATTCTATTGTATTGTAATTGTATAAAATCTAAAGCTAGCCTTTTTATTGCTAGAAATGAATGTTGTAATCGAAACTATTTGTTTCTGATGTTCATAGATATGTTCATAGGAAGGAGTGTGTGTTGCAATCACACACAGGAAAGAGGGAGAGAGAGAGAGAGAGAGATAGAGAGAGAGAGAGAAAGAGAGAGAGAGGGGCTGTTCTTAACAGCAAGTTGACACTCCTTTCTTCTTTATCTCCTGCTCCATTTCTCCCACACACACAGCAAATAAAAAAAGGTAAGAGGCAAACCCTTTTAATTAACATCCAAATGATGTGAAGCAGCTTTTCAAAGTGAATCTGAGGCACATATTGTGATCCTCCTTCTTGGTTACTGCAGATTGTAGAAATCAGAATCTTAGGAGCTTTTAATCAGAGAACCACAACTGCTATCATTAACTTTGAAAAAGGTTAGCGCTGCTAATGTTTGAGGTGTGTTCATGAACACAGGAGTGTTTGCATGCATGCTGCGTTCATTCCTGCTGCACACAAACAGGCATGTGCATGCAGGACCTTGAGGCAATGGTTAATACTGGGTAAAAATAAGAGATTACTATTTCTGTTATCATAACTGCTAATACAGCACCTGACACAAGGCCTGTGTGTTTGTTTGTATTCATTTTTAAAAAGTTGAATTTTAATATGATCGCAAAGTCACATTGTGGGAACCCAACTTTCATTTGGGGACAAAAGGCTGGTCCTGGCATGGTTAACCATTAGAAGACCTAAGGTTAAGGTTAGTGTCAGGGTTTGGGGGTTAAGGTTATGGTGAGTCTCCTCCAAATGAATGCAAGTCAATGCAATGTCCTCTTACTTGATAAAAACAAGTGTGTTTGGTGGAGTTTGGTGGAGGATATGTCAGATTGCAGTGCTGCAGTTACTTTATATACTGTAATTTATCTGTTATCTTATAATTTCTGACAGACTTCTCAGCAGTGAAACAAAACTGAGGAAGGAAGTTTGTGGTGTCATTTTGTGTGATGTGGACATCAGTGTGTCTGCGTTTTAGGCAACTGAATAATGTGAAATCCATATTCATATGTGCAAGCATGCTTGTCGTGCATTTTTCCAAACATCATTCCATTGTCAATTACTAAATTGATTTTGCTTTTATTTTGTTATTATTTTATTTTGATTAAAGAGTAAAAACCAACCACAAAGTCTATGTGACATCAAGTCATTGTCTTCTATGTTTCAGGTACTCTCCAGTGTGATCCCCTCAGCAGCTGATATGAACGGAACACAGGTTCCTGTCCTTGCAATGAGCCAGCTTCGAACTAGCTCCAACAGCTCCAGCAGCTCTTGGCAGAAAGATGCAATCAAGGGAGTCCAAATCACAGCTACTCTGCTTATCTTCCTGGTGAGAAATCCTCTATGGTTCCAAATAATTTACACAACCCTTGCATAGACAGGTCTGGAAACACATCATATCAATAGTTGTGATTATGTGTTCATTAAAGGGTTTGTCATGTGTTCAATCTGCACTAGGTGTTGTTTTATGGTTGTTTTAAAAAGCCGCAACTCATTTTTATATTTTGGTTTTTGTACAGAGATATAAAGTGTTAATTAGTGAGCTTTAGAGGTGCTGGTAGGAGGATGTTTTTACCTTTGGACAGAGCCAGGCTGGCTTTTCCCCCCTATTTTTCCCTTGATGCTAACCTAATCTAATTGGCTGCAGGCAGTAGATTCACATTTATTTAACAAACATAAGTGTGGTATTGATATTCTAATTTATCTGTCTGCAAAAAAAAAAAAGCACATAAGCGTATTTCCTCAAATTTCAAGCTGCCTTAAAAGTCTTTCACCCTGAATGTAACTGACAGCCGGTCCTCTTGGTTCCTTAAGGTGGGCGTATCTCTGAACGGGTTGGTGGTTTGGGCACTTGGAATGCGGAGGAACCGTCACCTGGTGCGCAGAGGCAGCAGTGAGGAAACTCGTGCAGCCAGCAGTTTCCGTATTTATGTCCTGAACCTGGCCGTGGCTGACCTGGTGCTGCTCATGCGTACCCCCCTTATGTTAGGCTATATTGCCCACAACTACAGCTGGCCATTTGGCCATGTCTTCTGCCGTCTGGTCATATTCCTGCGAGGCCTGGGGTTATACGCCTCCGCTTTCCTCCTCTGCGCTGTGGCTCTGGAGCGATGCCTGTGTCTGCTGAGGCCTGTGTGGGCTCGACTGCGACGCCCCTCCTGGGCCGTTCCTCTGGCCTGTGGCATCATATGGTTGTTAGCCACCAGCTTGTCTGCCCCCTACTTCCACAGTGCCGTCCTGAAAGACATAAACGGGACATACCAGTGCCTGGACAGTGGGGATTTTGACATGGCACTGTTTCTCATAGAAACAATAGCAGGTTTCATCTTGCCCCTGCTGGTGTTCTTGGGAAGTAACCTGGCTGTTGTGCTCCAAATTCAGCAAGCAATGCCCCCCACACCCACGTCCCCCTCCGCCCCTTCAACTGCCCGCAGGATGAACAGGATGTACCACGTGCTCTTTGTCACCATGCTCCTCTTCCTCACCTGCTGGGTGCCCTATTTTGTTTGTCGGTTCCTGCTGGCCTTGGCCATCAGACATTCGGATAAGGCCATGAAATATCGAGCACATATTGGGAAATACATATCTCTGTTTCTGGTGTACATCAAGAGTGCTCTTAACCCTGTGCTGTATGTGTTTGCTGCCCGAGGCTTAAGCCGTGCTGTCAGAGCTTCGCTTGTCTCCACTATTGAACGACTTTTCAATGACGACTCCTCAGAGTCCATACGAAGGAAGTCGCTTAAGAACTCACTTAAGAACTCACAAATGTAATCGGGAGGTCAATAATGTTTTAATCTTTTATATTTGCAAATGTGAAATGTGTTACTGTACAGTTACTGTAAAGAAAACAAATGCTTAAGGTGATCTTTTTAAATGGGTCTGAAAGATCAGAATATTACAGTTTCTATATGTAGAGATGTAATCTTGTTGACTCATTTGACCTTCATTCATTTGAAGGTGATGTTAGTTGAAACATAGTTTGACTATTTCTGTAATTTTCACATATAACAGTTTCTGACTGGAAATTCCCACCAATGAGGGATGAAAGTTTGATTTATAGGCTTGGATCAATGGTGCCAGAAACCATGATTTCAGCACGTCAGAGAAAGACAGCTCAACTCCCGTGATTTGTCAGGCAGACCAGAAGTGTAAAAACTGGGCCAAACATTGAAGGAAGAATTTAATCAAACAGCAAATCATGCTGGGTTTCTCTACTGTCAGCTCAGAATAAGAGAATATATGGACCTAAGTGTGATCAGTAAAACTAGATGACTGAAGAGTTTAAAATGCTTCTGCTTCTGTTGAGGCACGCTCAAGGCAGGGTCATAATTTGGCATAAAAATCAATTCATGAATCATCTTGTCCGTATGTCAGTGGGCAGGAAACACCTTCATGGTAAACATGCCAAAGTGATCACAATATGATTTCATTTGCCGTTTCCTGGCCCCAGGGTAACCTTTGAATGAGAATGCACCAATAAGACTATGTACAAAGAATGTGACACTGAATTTACCTTATCAGTATGAACAATGACTCATTTTCATCACTCTGTTGAAATCCAGATTAAAACAGGTCGTAGTCCACATATCTGGGAATGTTTGTGCATAAGAAAGAATGAATGTATGCATGTGTATAGGCCATTAGAGAACTGAAGCACAATATGCTGAGCAGGAAGTAAATGTGTTGCAGGCTTATTATCACTTTGTGACTGTTCCACAAGATAGCATTAGTATTGTTTGTTTAAAAGATGTTTAATAGCAATTAATCTGTAATGAATTGTAGCACTGTACATTTATTTTCTTTCTTCATTGAAACATGAATAAATAAAAGTCACTTTCTTTAAATGGTATCTATTTAATTACATCAAGGTCCAACGTGGCACAATTTCAATTATGAACAACCAGTTATTCTTCATTTGCAAGTATAGTATTTCTTTTAATGAAGTTTATGTATTCTGGTCTTGAGGCTCAAATGACAACAGAGAAGTTGGCCATCTTTCTCCACAAAAAAACAACAACAATGCATTGCAGTGTAACAGTTGTTTTAATTACAACTTTCACATAAACTTGAAAGCTGTAAAATACTGAAACTTAAAAAGGTTCAATGGTTAACACACAAACTACAACCCCCCCTCCTTGTTTCCTGTCTGCCTCTAGACTGTACACTTTCCAATAAAGGCAAAATGCCAAAAAATAATCTAATAAAATGCAGAAATGCAAGTGCATAGTGTAGAGTGTGGATGCCAGTTTATTGCATTTTAAGGGAGAAATTAAATGAATGAAATAGTTTTGTCTTATTTTTTCTACCTATATGTAGGGGAGAATCTAGAGGGTGGCCAGTGGGTGGCATGGAGACCTTAAGGGGTAGCAGAAATATTTGCTCATTTAATTGTAAAGGATCTTATATAATCAATATTTTCTTGGAAAGGTCCACAAATGACAATATTTTTAAATATTTCAAAAGCATTACATTACTGTGGCACATAAACAAAGCATTGAATAGAAATATCTAATAGTGGCATTAGAAAGAAATAATAATTTAACTTCCAAATCTTCAGAAAATTTTCCAAATACGTGTGTATATTCACCTGAAAATAAAAATTGTTGTGTTCTTGCTACATTAGAATGAGCTGTTTTTAATTAACAGACACCGCAGGTCGCCTTCTGCGAATGCAGCCATGTTGAACAGCCATGTCTCTACAGTAGCCCAGAACGGTTGTTTTTATAAGGCCTTTTTCAGACCTGTGTCAGCAGAGATTTGGTCAAGTTCCAGTCTGAACAAGGTGCACCACTGATGGAGGTGAAGCCAGGCTTGAAGAGCTGATCAGCATGTGTGTGTGCCTGTAGAAGCAGCACCTGGGCATTCTGGACGGCCTCTGACTGCTGCAGGATTTCTCCCAGTTTCTGGGCCGCAGTCTCAGAGTCACTGTCTGGTATAATTTTTCTCATCCGAGCCTGCAGAAAACAAAAAAAAACACTGTTGCGTCTCTGTGCTTCTAGTAAATGTGCAATATTATGACAGTGTTTTGTGAAATGTTCTCTGAAACAAAAGCAAATCGTACTTCTGTAACTGATGTGGTCAACCCAGACACTACAGAACCACAGATGTCATGTTTTTTCTGTACCTTTCGTTAGAAATATGTCGTATTTTTCCGCAATATTACAAAGTAATTGCGCCACAGAATATGTTTTTCTTTCCTGTTACATTGTAGAGGAAGTGCCAACTCAGACATTTTGACCACATCTTATTCACAAAAAGGTGATATATGAATGCCTTTAATAGTGAAAACAGCTCTTGTGCAATAATGACAAGTCAAGCAGATACAAGTTATATTGTGAAAGGGTGTTTTGTGCTCACCTCTAATGTTTCATCTTTTTGCAGTGGGAGTGTAGGAAGGTTGAGAACTGTTTGTTCATGTATCTGTAAGATCTACCCAACAAAGACAGGAAGAAAGAAACTGCAAGTGTGAATTTCTATCATCTTTATCTCATCATCTAATAAATAAACGAAATTAAAAAAAATGCAAATCACTGCTTTGATATCAAGCATATTATGACTGACATTTCCTGTACTTACTGCTGTAAACACTTTTCGCACGAATAATCCCTTTCTGCCAGATCGTACGTAACAGCCACATTTCAGCCACATTTCATCATGCTCTTTAACTAACTGATCAACAAGAAGCGTGCAGACTTACTTATGTCAAACAGGCTGATATTTGTGTGGAGAAATGTAGTCAACCACTTCTGTTTCTAGGTCACCTCAATTCTGATGTCTAAAGTACTGAAATGGGTTACTTAATGTAGGGTAATTTCAAAGACACTTTTGTCAGAGTTAATAAATATTGGAAACCTGTAAAAACATTTTGAAAATAAAGCATCTGCATCGGAGTGGTTTTTGGCTACGTAGTGAAAATAATGCACCAGGAGAGATTTTGCCTTCGGATGAAAGATTATTTAGACAGATTCAAAAACATAAAACTTTAAATAAAACACATTATGTATGAGTGTAGAGAGATTTAAAGATGATCTGTTGGATAATTATGCTAAAACATTTGTGTTTTCTGCAAATGAAAATATTAAATAGAATAGTTAGTTAGATAGCCGTTCACAAGCATGTCTGAAAACAGACAAACAAAATCTTACCTAGTTTTAACTAATCAACAAAAAGTTATAGAATCAAGTAATAATGCAGGAATGTTCCAAAAAATAAATATCTATCTATCTATCTATCTATCTATCTATCTATCTTGTAATGTTTATGATTTTTATTTCTGTGGCATGTGTGAGTGTTTTGCACCTCTTTTGCTTTCTCCTCCTCTTCCTCCACCTGGTCTCTCAGCATAATGCAATTATGCTGTAAAGAGACAGTTTGTTCCTCTGTCTTCTCCAGAGCGCTGACCACAGCCCTCAAGTCTTCCTGAGAATCCAGATTACACAACAATACATCATGCAACACAACTACAGCATTTACTTATGTATATTACAGATAATTAAATACACAGATTTACACAGATACCTTTGGCAAATTACTTGTTGGATTACCATGTGGTTTATTACATGGTTATTTTTATTATTGATTAATCTGTAGTTATTTTTTACATAATTAATACTTTAGTAAAATTGCTTACTTGTCCATCTAACAGGGATAAAGGTATACAGTTTAGAAGAAAAGTAGAAAATCTCAAGCAATTGCTGCCATGTAAAAATATCCCAACTTTAACATTTTGAAAATATCACATTTATCACCTCCAGGTTGTTCAGAGTCGTCTTTCCGACCGCTGACTTCTTGGTTTCCTGCTGGTGGCTGTGAGATGAATGTTTCAAATCTTTTTGTTTCTGCACTGGAACTTTGAGCTGTGCACATTGAGCAAGGAAGCTGAAAAGGTTTGGTAAATATATCAGCAAAAAAATAAAAAATAAAAAAAATAAAGTGCAACTTCGCTAAATCCTTGACAATGTTGTACTTTGAATTAATGACGTCTGAATCATCACATTGGGGATTAGGGTTGCATGATGATTCATCAATGGCCTTTTCTCAAGTCACCTTTTGACAAAGTTCTTTTGTAAGTGAAACACTTACACTAATGTTGATCTTCACATCAGTGCTGATACTCACAGCCCTTGGAAATGCTGAGTCAGATATATCATTGCCAAAGTTTTCTCAATTTCTGTAACACGCTGTAGGTCACACGCCTATAGTACATCTATCATCATCATCATGCCTAATTCACATGCAATTCCACCATTACAGACAGTTAACGTCCAGTTCCAGTGAGCTGATTCGTGCCATTTATTTCCATCTGAACGTCTGACTTATTGCTTACGTGGCTTTCATTATGTTCAGATGTTCCTGGCTCTCTTTCTTCTCTGTCCGCTTCAAAGCAAGAGTTGCTCTGTGAAAAAAGAAACATGAAAAGTGTCTGTGACTTTATTTTATTATTCACCGACAGTAATCGACGTGCCTGGAAAAGTGATGGCTGGCTTAAATGGGTAAAATTATATCCCAACCCATATAACTATTTAAATTTTAAATTAAAATGGGCAAACATTACAACACCTCTCAACAATATGCAGTGTAGTTCAACACCACTGCAAACAGCAACCTCAGTGGTTAAATGAATACTCTGCCAGCTTCAATCAACACTGATATCTTTGTAAAAGGCAGAACCTATAGCTGAGCCACTGAGTGTAACAGTGAAACTCACAGTATTGACAGGTCCATCATGTTCTCCAGAGCAGTGATGGAGGACACCGGCATCGGCTTCCAGTTTGTCTGACCTTTGACTTTGTCAGGGACTGAAGATGAGCCTCCAGCTTCTCAAAACACAAACAGGAGGCATCAGAAAGTGAGCTCAGTGCAGCTGGTGAGTTAGCTGTGTGGTGCACAACTTACAGTGTTTTTGCATCATTGTCCCTGCATACTAACCTTTCCTCTTCCGTGCTGGTTTTGGGTGAGTGCTCTTGTCGTGGTTACTGCCACTGGGCTCCGGATCCTGGGAAAACATGATTAAATGTGAAGACAGAACAACGCAGACAACATCAGCTGCAGTGTTACTTTAGCACGTAACGTTACCTGGTGCTCAGTTGCTGGTTTTTTCTTGTTTTTCACGTTAGGTGCTTTAGTTGCGGCCCGGTCGGAACCACGTACGGGCTTCATATCTGCTATCTAATGTAAATAATTAACAGCTTTAAAGCAAAATGTAGCCAATATTAACGTAACGCAGTGTGATATTGTCCGGCTAAGTTAACTGTAGTAGAAGCAACAATAAACAGGAGGTTTCTTTGAGTTAAAATTGAGACTTAAAACATTTTAGATAACGTTAAGACACAAGTTGTTGTTAGCAGCCAAGCTACTTTTCGCGGTGTTGTTTTCAAAACTGTTCAACGCTCAATGCGCATGCTCTGAACCTATAAGTGATTTTATACCCGGAGTTATGTTTGGCAGGCTGCTTTCGCGCTCACGCTTTATCACCAGGACCAAACACCAGAAAGGGGGAGCCTGCACGTTTATAACTCAAATTAAATGTGTTAATTCATCAACGTATCGACCAACACAACTGCCTGCCTTGTAACGCAGAACAAATCGCAGACTTCATAACAGCGGGACGAAAACTTTACCTGTGAGGTTGAACGCAGGGCAGCAATGTCTCAGCGACCCCAGTAGACTGAAGCCATTTTAGGGAATGTCATTTTTACATACATCTTATACAGGAATGTTTTATCAGTCTGTCGGGAAACATGAAGCATTATAATGGGGTTTCTCTATTCATATTGCATTGCCTCGTAAAATGTATCATTATAAAGAAAATACATACGTTTTGTTGCACTTTACTTCTCAGACCGCAGGTTCGTGTGGAGGTGCAGTCAAAAGTCATAGGGAAATGTAATTGTTGAATTTTAGAGGCATTAGGGTACAATTAAAAATGTCCACATTAATAAAGAAAATGCTGATATTTACAACATAATTTTAAAGCTTTTGTGTCTTTGTTGGAACAAATGAGAGAACAGGTATTGGTGCATCCTAATCCGAGCAACAGTCGCTGTATAAACATCATCACTAATCCTAATATATTCACAGACGTGCCATCTTTGTTATACTTGTATTATTTACACACACACATATACACACATTTACACACACGTATACACACGTGTGAAAAAAAAAGTGAAACCAAAGGTTTCTGTTCCTGTAAATATCAAATCTGTAAAGATTTGTTTTCACTTTTTTACAACTAATAAGACAAAGAACTTCAGATGCATGTCAAACTGAAATATTGTTTATTAGTTTTTTAAGCAGAAAATGGAAAATATCTCAATATCTTCTCTCAAAATGTCAATATATTTGCATAAAAAAACACAAAAGATTCCCAAATATGACTGAAAGTTGCTTCTTCAGTGGCGTGGTCTGGATGGTGTCACAGTATGACGCTACTGATTTCACACCCTCCCTGTGAGGTGAAATTTGCCTGCGAAGCGTCCATGGTTGTGAAGGTCATGGGGGCTGAGCACCTTCCTGATACCCAGCATGTTGCCATGCGCTATTTGCTTGAAGGTCCAGGGATTCTGGTTGTTCTGCTCCATATCAGCCTGCTCCTTCTGCAGGGCTGCGAGGCCTTCTCTGCTCAGTACCTGAAATAAACAAATAAAAAGGAATAACGTAACACATAGATATGAGTAAGTGCAGTAACTTCAAATCAATAACATTGTAACATTTGAATTCCAACAAGAATACATGTTAAAATGTTTAACTATATTTTCATTTTTGTTAATTGCAACTAAGGTTTTGTGTAGAGGGAAATGAGTTTTAAAGATACTTTGTGCAGTGAAATTGTTATAATTGACAGTTAACAGTTATTAGGTAGTAAACAAAGAGTAGCATATATTTATTACAGTCATACCGTTGGAACATGTTTTTGTACTTTCAAACTATTCATTGCACTAAGTTGCAGACATTCTGCCAAGAGTATAGCGAGATAGAGAGATGTCATCTTTCTTAATATAAAGTACACTGGAATTCCACAGGGCTCTATCCCTGGCCCACGTTTACATCTGTTTTCTCACCTTGGCAGGGAAGGGTAGCTTCTTTGCCACTTCAATCAAGATATGCTCAACCTCCCCCAGCTCCACCTTTCCTCCCAGCTCCACGATTAGACGGCCGTAGCGGACAGGTGTCACATAGTGGTCAATGGCTCCTTTGCCCCCACCCATACGTTGACCCAGACCTTTACGTGTGACAGGCTTATATGGGCCACGAATGCGCCAGTGGGCAAATGTAGTCTGGGGGTCCATCTTGCGGTTGATGGTCAGACGAATCATTTCTATGTGACCCCAATGAAGGTATCCCCCTCCCATGGCCTGAGCATTACACAGAGAGACAGAGAAAGAAAGGAATTCACTTTTAAATGACAATAATTTGTTTTCTTTGCTTGGCATAAGTATATATGGTGTGAGGGAGAAAGGTGGAAAAGATAACATTTTTGTGTGAAAGTTGGCATTACGAGTCTACCAGTATACAGATGACTGACACTGCTATTGATGACTATACTTTTAGCGCCCAGACCGTAACTCCTATCAACAAAATGGGCATTATGTTCAGCAAAACAAGAGCCTGCTGAGCACATTCATTAAAATTTGTGTGTACAGTCAAAAATGTGACCACACGTGAAGAAGTGGCTGCTTCTGCTTCACTCCTGAAATTTCTTCTCACACTTAATATGGAAGTTAATGCAGCAGTTGGTTGGCGCTCCTGCTGCTTGGAAGCTCAATTAATATAAGAAAGTCTTATCTGTCGTGAACGTTTTAAAGTTTGAATGGAGTTTCTATGTGAATGTATGAATTTGTGGGAAGAGCCTGAAGACGAGTAGATTTGAAGGTTGAATAATAGCAAAAATGTCTGAAAGATATGGAATATTTGACAGTTTGAATGGAGTTTGTGGCTGAAACTATACATGAGTAGTTAAGAGTTGAAAATTCATGAAAAGTCTCCATATGAAATGAATAGAGAAAAAATCGTCTGAAAAACTGGAATAATTCGGAAAGTATGAAAGGTATAAAAGAGAAAAAATCATCTAAAAAACTGGAATAATTCGGAAAGTATGAAAGGTATAAAAGAGAAAACATATCACTGCAAAAATTGAGGCAGAAAATGTTTGTCAGCATTGAATTAATACACTCACCACAATAGCGTACTGCCCATTACTGAAAGTACTTCCTTCTTTGGCTGGGCCTCGGATATCACGCAGTTTCTTCATCTCTTTCCTTGCCTTTTTTAAGTCAGGCACCTTGCTCACAAACTTCAGTTTGGGTTTATCTGGCAATATCACATCTTCAGGAGGTAAAAAGAAGAGTGAGGAATCATGAACAACACTAACATACAACATCAGGCAAACATGTGTACTTGAACAAAGAGTATCGCCTTCTGAACTTGCTGTAGTGTTTCCCCTCCTTGTCTTCCCCTGTGCTACAAATGCTATAAACATTTTGCATATAAAAATGTTGTGTTAAATCAAATAATATATAAACAACATTTTAGAAATTGGTAACAAATAACAAGTGAGTGTAAATTACCACTGTAGTCTGGAGGGATATTCACGGTCTTCAGCCCAGCAGCTAGGACTTTCAGGTGGCTGTGCAAAGGACCTGTGGAACAAATAAGACACTTCTTGGCAAGATGTTTGGCAAAATTCAGCCTAATACAGAACCGTCATATGTTACTGCTGATGAAGACACATTTGCCTGTACAGTGGTAATGCAAACAAAAACTCTTGACTTGATTTAGTCTTAATTGAGTGAACTTTTCATGTTAATGGGACAGCAAATTTAAGCCATATGTATTACTTGTTGTTCGAGATTGTTGTTTTTATGTCTCTAGATAGAAACATGGTTAATTGGTGATCAGCTTTGCCAGCATTAAAGGTGCATAGCTCCTTGCTACCTCAGTCTCTCTGTGCACTTGTTGTCACCTGTACTGTAATTCTACAGTTTTATGACTTTACCATTATTGGCGCCGGTGATTATTTTATTTTATACGCGTTGCTTGCACTGTGTATTATTTGCTTCTATGTTGCATGTTGGCGTGAAATATCCGATGAAATAAGATGTTGACTATTGTCTGACACTCACAGCAACGCCTATTAACGTGTACAGCCCCTGTTAACCGATGAATTCATGAATAAACACAACATTACACACCCCACCAGCAGTAACACGTGTTGTGTTTCCTATCACTAAGGTTTAATGTCACTAGAACGTTCACGCTGTCTAACTTCTGTTACCTTGGTGACCGTGGGCTCTGCAGATGCCCGTCAGTCCGCCGACAGCAGCCTTGACGAGGGAGATCATGATATCCACCTAGAAACGGAGCCTATAAACACCGGACTGCGACTGTGTGGGGTCCACGCAGGAGCATTTTAGGTGGTTAACTCATGAAAACTGTTGTGGACACCACGCTCTACAAGGTCGCTGCCATTGCTGTGTCGCTTTTCTTGAGTTCCGCCAGAAGAAGTGGCACTTCCTGTGCGTGTATTTTTCAAAATAAAAGCCTTGGCTCTACAAAGCTTCAACATGGCACAGGAATCTCTTTATATATTAATGTTTAGTATATAAGGTGTGCAGGACTATGATTTAAATTCACTATGTCCGATGTGTGTATCAGACAGACGGGGGTTTATATTATTAATTTATTTATAATTTGTATATTATAAACGGACAGGTTGGTTTGATTAGAGTGCAGAGTATAACAATAACCATAAAGGACTTCTTTTATCATTCTTTACAAGATGAAATATTTTTATTTTCGGTCCATATTCAATACAGTTAGCACTCACCTTTTTTAAGGCAGAAAATGCACTTGTTAGCCATGTTAGACTACCTTGCTGCTACTATTTGTGTGCTGCTACTATTTGTGTTATCTGTTGTTGTGGATTCTTACTGTTTTTTCTCTTGTACATAGTGTTTATATTATTTTCTTTTTTTTCTCTA